GAAATGGGCAGTGTGGCTAAGCCAGTGAATTGAGCGTGCTGCCCTGGCTGAAGCATGAGCAAGGTATGGGGAAAGGAATCGGGAGCCCTGGGTTCTGCTTAGCTATGTGACCTTGGCCAAAGATCCTTCAACTCTTCACCTAAAACCTATACCACACCACATCTATAGGTAAACAGGGACACTCTACTTGGGTTCCCACATGTTCATGATAACAAGGGCCTTAGTGTCTCCCTCTTGATGTTTATACTTCTTTAATTGTTTAAGAGCTTTTACCATTGACACTGATCTTCATTCCAAATGTCAGGAGCGAGACAACTGAGAGGCCTGGTGTGCCTGTTAGTGGGTCCACAACTGAAATGCTTTGTTTCTGAACTATCGCTGATTGAACTATTCCTGTACCACACAGTCCCCTAGATTGTGTTCATGGCTGAGCTGATGCCTCTTCTGGCCAGTTCCTGATCCTAGTTGCAGTGGGTCTCCTCACGTGTGACCTCCTCCTCACAGCTGCTGGTAGTTACACTCACATGCCCACCAGCATAATTCCTGGGCTCTCCTCCAGTACTTTTAGGCCTTAGAGTTGAGACCAGACCAATAGTTCCAGATGTTAAAAGTTCTTCCTCACCAACAGACCTCAGTGGAACTAGATCGAACTATTACAGGAGATATAAAAGGGGATGTTTAGGGTCTGAGTCTCCTTTGGCTCCCAGGGGAACCCATGGCACCTACACAAATTTTTCTTTCCTAGCTAAGATGTTGAAAGGATATAAAGTCTTTACATTTGTCTAAATAGGAGATATCACCTGTTAGTTCAAGAAAGAGGCACATTCAAAGGGTCCAAAGCAACTTTCTGTGCCCACCTATACAATAACATAATAGGTGAATTTTATCATTAAAATGTTCAGGTTTGTATATACTTTGCTATATGTATAAAGTTCTTTATTAGCATCTGCTTCATCTCTCTCACTAAGTGTGTTGAAAATTAAATGAACCATGGATAAAAGTATGCATTTTGAGAAGCAAAAAAGTTAAATTGTAAAAACAAGCAATTGCTGTTTAAGTGATTCATTCGATTAGAAATACAGTTTGGCTCTAGAAACTTTGGATAATTTCTGGGTAATTAGGGCTTCCCAACAGGCAGTCAAGAATAGAAATTGGTTCCCTCATGGAAAGTCCAGAACAAAGCATGCTTGATTTGTGGTTCAAACCTAGATAGGAAGTCAAAAGAATGGAATGACTGAAAAGAAAGTATTTAGAGCAGTATTACTAATTTACACCCAGTCTAACCATCTCCCATTTAATTACTTCAAAATTTTACAGAATATTTTAGAAGTCACTTAACTATTTTGAGATAGTTTCCCAAATATGAAATAAGAGTTAGATTAAAATCAGTGATTTTTAGTTTTTGATGCCCAATAAGCAAATCCACAGAAGTTTAGTATCTGAGCATTTAAGACTACATACTATCAGAAATAAATGGCAATCTTCTGAAATTAGTTCATACTCTACAGAGTAGCAGATGCTGTCCTATCTAGCAGCTGTAACATGAGCTCTTTAGGGTATTCTAGGGCAATGATCTTTGGTGGACAAAACCCCAGCTCTTTAGCCCAGAATTATATTTACAATTCCACTGAGATTTTTAAGTAACTTGACAGTGCAGGGCAGGTGAAAGAACTTAATAATCAGTACTTATTTTTTCTGAAATTTTCAAGCAGAATATTTGACTTTGGCCAGAGTTATAATGGGAAGAAATTACCTCTGATATTATCTGGAAGACCATAAGCAATTGAGACAATGAATTGTCCAGGTGGCCTTTCTTTATCTAATATTAAACCTGCATTCTTCTAATAAGCTAATTTTTTACTTTCCTATGAATGGCTTCAAAATCCAAAAAGGAGCAGAGGCCAGGGTATAGATAAGAAGCTACTGCCCTTTTCTGTATGCAGGCACTGTGACCACTTGCAGATCCTTGCAGCTAGGGGAGTGGGTTGGGGGGAAGTGAACACTTCAGAATAAACCCAGAACACTGACACCTTTGGGAAGCAAAAAGGGTAAGAAGTACTTCCAAAAATTAGCCCAGCAAACCAAAGGAAACTAACTATAAACTGAGCGAGTCATGCCAAACACATGGCCTCATCACAGCTTAGCTTCCTTTCTCTTCAAAGGCACAAAGATTGTCCTCTCATAATAAAAATTTTCATGTCACACAGGAAGTATTCCAAGCCAGAGCATAAAATAAAGTAACTGGGTGTTAGGTTTCTCCCAGTGCTCCTGGGTGCTCCCTATTCCCTTTCTGCACTTTCCCCCTATCAAGAGAAAATGACAGCAAGCCTGAGCAACTTAGTGAAACCCTATCCCTAACCCTAAAATAAAATTTTAAAAAGGGCTGGGGATGCAGCTCAGTGGTAGAATGCTTGCCTAGTGTGCATGAGGCCCTTGATTCAATCACCATTACCCACTCCTCAGAAAAAAAAAAAGAAAGAAAAAAGATAACCCATTCACCAGGGACAAAGAGTTATATAACTTGCACAGCAAAACCTAGTTACTTAAAACTTACTTACTTGTGGTGGGGTAGTTCTCCCTGAACAGGAATGGCATTCCAGTAATAGAATTTTGTTGGTTATGGAGTTTAGATCATAGATTAGGAGAATGTTGAGTTTAAGGGGCCAACTTATGGAATCTCTTAACAATACAACAGTGCAGAAAGATGCTTGCCCAGGTTCTGTGCCTCTTCAGTAGCCCAAGCTCACCTACCAGGCCAACATGTAGAGTCCATTGTTGGATGAGTCTCTGTGTTAGAAAGCTGTTCCTTAGAATGAAACTAAGGGGGCCCAACATTTCCCAGTGTCTCAATTGCAAGAAGAGGAAAATTTTGGACCAGAAAGAATTTGCCATAGTAAAAATTTTGTGTAGGCAGAAAAATATTAGGGTGCAACAGGTCAATCTGTATCACCCTATCATGGCTTCCTCTCAAACCAGTTCAGCAATGGTAGCTTTGCCATGTAGCCTGGCACTGGATTATATTTTAATCACATTATTCTTTTGTGGTTTCATGGCTGTGCTTCTCAAGTGGCATCTAAACCACTTACTGGCATCTCCCACGACATCCAGCCTGGAGCAGGCTGCCCAGGAGGTGTTCTTAGAAGCCCTTGTAAGTAAACCAATTGAGCTGACTTTACAACAGGGCTCTTTTTTTTTGCAGTAATAATCTAAAATGTATTTAAATGTAGTTTCTGGAGTTACATCACAAAGAGTGTTGTAACTATGTCCCACCCTGGTTTGCTAAATGGATCTTCAAAGCAGAAATCCAAATTTTTCCACATTTTTAACATAATCACTGGAATGCTAAAGATTTAGTACAATGTGTTCAGACATGTTGCTTTCATGACCCAGTTGATCCTTCCCTTTTTATTCCCACAGGTTCAACCCCAGTTCAAGCTCTCATCATTTTGCGCTTTTATTTTTGCAAAGGGTTCTTTGTTGAAATTCCTTAGCCTGGTTCTCAAGGCATCTGAAAGGTTTCTAGCATCATCAGCTGTTCCTTCCCAGAGCAGTGTGTGTTTCTTCTGTGGGAACACTTTTTATACTTGTACTTATTTATCTTAAAGATTGCTTTCACTATCACCTTACAAAGCTCCATGAGGGTAGTAGTCATATCTATAACACTATCCCTCATAGAATGAACTACTTGCTTATAGCAAGATTTTTTTAATTTCAGTTTTTAACTCTGAATGATGCTGTGACTTTGGGTAAATGACTTGGACCTCTCTATGCTTTGGTTCTTTACTCTGTGAAGACTGCATACTAGTACACCATAAGTCTTGGTGTTTCTAGGATAACTATAAAATACCCTATGCATTGGCCCTTCTGACAATATATTTATTTTGTTTTTATTATTAAAGATCTTAAATAATTGAAACATGTGGTCAAAATGTTATTTTTCTGCCTTAGACAGTAACCCAAAAAATTAACAATTCATTCTGAGAACTTGTACAAATAACATCAAGAAAACATATTTTGGAAAATAGCTATGAATCCCAAAGCTTTCTTTGAGTCTTTCCTCCTGGACATGCTAAGCATTAGATTTAGTTCCAAAATATTTTTTAAAAGCCTTTTTGTGCCAGTCTTCATGAGGAATAGCTGGTTAGGTGGAGCCTGCCTTCTAGGATCTGTGGTAGGCAGAAGAGTGGCTCCTAATGATGTCTACAGTTGAATCCCTAGAACTTGTGACTATGTTATCTTGTGTGGATAATGGGACTATACAGACATGATTCAGCTAAGGGTCTTGAGATGGGAAGATTTTCCTAGATTAACCTATTTGGATGGGCACAATCTGACCACCTAGCTTCCTAAAACTGGAGACCCTTTCCTGGATGTGCTCCGAGAGGGAAGGTTATCTACAAAAGAATGTTTAGACAGAAGCAATGTCATTGCCTTTGAAGAGGGAAGAGAACCAAGAGAGATTATGTAAAGGTGCAAATTTCCAATGATGAATGTCATTATATTGTATACCTAATGTACCAATTAAATTAATTTTTTAAAAAAGGAAAAGTCCACAAGCCAAGAAATGCAGGTGGTTTCTAGAAGCTGGAAAAGGCAAGATAATGGATTCTTCCTTAGATTCTCCAGAAAGGAACACAAATCTGCCAGCACTTTGCTTTTGGCCCAGTGAAACCTACATTAGATTTCTGACCTGCAGAACTGTAAGATAATAAACTTGTGGTGTTTAAGCCACTAAGTTTGTGGTAATTTTTTATGGCAGCAATAGAAACCTAATACAGACCTCATGAAGTAATGAAGAAGGAACCAGAAAAGAAATCAACAGGCTAAGGGCATCCAGGATTAATTTTGCAAGAGTGGAATCAGCCAATAATAGTTATGATGATGGTAATGAGAACCCTTGAATAGCACTTATATTTACCAAGCCCTGTTCCAAGACATGTATATATTAATTCATAGAATGCTCAAGCTAAATTTTGTTGTTGATATCATTTTACAGATGAGGAATATTAACTAACTTGCTCCAAAATACATGGATCCAGGATTTGAATCCAAGCTGACTGGCTATAAATGGATGTTCCTAACTGTATCATTCCATAGAGTGGAGAGTTCTACTTGCGAGTCCAGTAGCAACTTCCTGGAATCGTTATCTGCCTGACTTTGAACTGGTGAGTAGGATTTTGAGTGAAGAAACTCACAAGACCACTTTGTGGCATAAATGCCATGGAAGTGTCCTGGGAACTCCTCTGTGCTTGGGGAATAGAGTGGTTTGGGTGAACACTATTTAGGTAGCCAGAGGCATCCTGGCCAACACAGTTAGAAACAGTAGAGCTCATTTGCCCCTCACCTGATCTACAGGGAACGTAAGAGTCAGAAGATAGTGGAAAGGGGCTTGACTCTCAGGAGATTGGTATTTATTAAGTATTTCTCAAGTTCTGAATTATTTTTTCCCTCAACATTTAACTTGATTACTGACTTCTTTTTTTTTTTTTCTTTTGGTGGTACCAGGGATTGAACTTAGGACCTTGTGTGACTGAGGCAGGTGCCAGAACCACTGAGCTAAATCCCCCGCCCATTGATTATTAACTTCTAACCTTCTGGAATTCAGGACCTGGTTTCTATCTGTGTCCAAAGGAACATCTACCAATGGGCCAAAGAGAAGAATTCAGTAAATGAATGAGCATTGGGGTCATGTCATATATTCTTGATCTTTTATTAAAGTGTGTCTGCTTCCTGAAAAGAATACAGGTGACTAATGCATGGCGTAAAAGCAGGGAAACACATACTTGTCAAACCAAACAGTATTTCTAAAAGTTGGACAGGGTCTTTGGGTGCTCTTTTTGAGGGTTTCTGCCCTGATCAGGAGTGATGGTGGGTAAGAGCTGTGTGCTCAGTGGAAGGCTGTGGAAACCTCTGGAGACATGGACTGGGCCAGGTGCCCAGCAGCTGTGTGATCACAGACAGTCACACGATAGGAATGCTAGACATTGAAGGGGTGGGGCCTAAGAGATGTGACATCATGCAAGGCATCTTCAGCCTAGCCAGATGTACTGGGTGTCTCCCTACATCCAGTGAAGTATTAATCAAGCACCTGAACTTACACAGTTCTGAATGTAATTAGCTTTCATATGTCAAATGGTGAAGAATAACATTTTTACATCAGGGTCTGGTGAGGGTGAAAGGCAGGAAAAAGTTCAAAAGAAAACCTTGTGATAAATACCTTGGAGTTTTAGTTACCCTGCAGGATAATGAAAGGTGACTCCTCCATGCCCAGCTGAGAGGGGAAGGGTCCAGCCCACATATGCTCATAAAGAAAGCTTCCTGTGTCCTGCCTTGGTGACCTAGCTTGACCTGTATATCACGAAGAGGCTATAATTCCCCGGCAGAAGCTATAAGAACCTGAAAGCCAATGCAGGCCCCACTTGGAAACAGTGGGTTTTATCCATGGAGACTGTTGCATTAAGGGGTAGCCAAGAGAGGGTGCACAGAGTGTTGGAAACAGCTCTACCTTTAGAAAATTTTCTGATAGCTGGGTATGGTGGCACAGGCCTATAATCCCCATAATCTGGGAGGCTGAGGCAGCTCAAGCCCAGCCTAGGCAACTTAGCAACTTAGTGAGACGCTGTCTCAAAGCAAAAACTGAAAAAGGGATGGGGTTATAGTTCAGTTCAAAGGCCCTGGGTTCAATCCCCAGTGCCACACACACACAAAAAGTTGCTGACAATTACATTTATTAAGATTCACCAGTGTCGTGGCAACTTGCCCATATATTCTTTCCCAGTGACCTTAAATATTTTTTCCTTTTCTTTTAAACCAAAATACAGTTCAACTTAAAAGAAAATGTTGTTGTACTACTAATAATAAATCACCCATGTTCTGTCACTAATGCAACCTCCATTGTCATTGTTCTTATTCTTAATCCCTTTAATCAATGACAGATTCTCTCATGTCTTATAGAAAAGACATCCTCAGTGAGAAAATGAAAATAGAAAAGGAAGAATTCTTCCACTATCTATTTAAAGTGATACAATTGACATTAAACATCTCACAAAGGATTTCTTCATATATGAACCTAGAACCTTTCTTTTTTTTTTTTTCCTGCAGTGGAATCCAGCCCCAAGGCTTGGGACAAGTTCTTTGAAATTTAGCAAATTAAAGTAACTAACATATGCATCTTGTTAAAGCAAGGAGCCAGAGAATGTGGCTGACAAGGGTATGGAAACAGCAGTACATGCCCACACACGTGAGGATTGGTGCTTTCCTCTACTGTAATCTGAGCCCAGTTGGCTTCCCAAACTGTTCTCCCACCACTGCACTGCACAAGCCTTGGAATCAGACCTAGCCAAGCTCCACAATCTGCTCTGGTTTGAATGTATCCCCTCGAAAATTCAGATTTTGCCATGTAGTGGTAAGAGTGGGGTAGTTTAAGAGGTGATTAGACCAATAGAGCTCCTGTTTCTTATGGAACCGAGTGCCTTATAAATGAAGCATCCCTTGCCTGGCTGGTCTTCTACCTTCTCTGATTGAAGATGCAAGAGGAGGATTATCACTGGACCAAATGCTGGTACCTTGGTCTTAGGCTTCCCAGCTACCAGAACTGTGATAAATAGCTCTCTGTTCTTTATAAATTACCCAGTCTGTGACATTCTGCTGCAGCACCACAAAGAGATGGAGGCACCATCTCTACTTGCAACTTTTCAGCATCTTCTCCTTTTCTCTGACCATCCAATGTTCACCTTTCATATATTAGCTATGGGGCTGTTGCAAAAGCCTCCTGTCTTTCACCAGTAGAGCATGGAATGATAATTCTTGCTTTCCTTAGCTATAAGAGGCTGAATGACTTTCTCACCAATGAGACAAAAAAGTCTAGTTTTCTTAGGCAGAGATTGGTTCTGAGAAGCATTTTTTTCTCCTTCTAAAGGGTAACAGTGCTGGCACCAAATTTTCTCCCTTTTCCCTGCCTTGAGTACAGATGTGAAGACTGGAGGTGCATAGCCTTCTTGTAGCAAATGATGAGGATGAAAGAAAGGGCAAGAGAATGCTCATCTCCAGTGTGCATCCACTGCTGCCTGCTGCCACATTCGTTCCAGGACAGAAAAATAAGCTCCTCTCTGTGTAAGTCACAGTAACCTAGGGTTCTTGTTTTGTTTTACTACTTGTAACCCAAACTTTTTTAACTGATAAAACATCTTTATCATCCTCCCATAACCAGTGTAACCTGAGAGGCAATGAACAGAGTGGATTCAAACAGGTCCTAGAGCCAATTATATTTTTAAATCCCACGTCTGTCACTTACCAGCTGTATGACCTTGGGCAAGTTATCTAACCTATATAAATTTCATTCTATAATGTGGAAATAACAGTAGTGTGTGCTTCATATAAATGCTAAAAGAAATAATGCACATAAAATACATAAACCATAAGCTAGCAGATGAGTGTCAAATAGCATTGGTTTTCCTGGTGGAGGTGATTCATTGATCCCCAGCATCAAGGGAAGATCAAAAGTTCAGGTTTCTAAACTTTTCCTGTTTCCCAAAGTGGTTTCCACTGATCTAGGTTTCAGAGCCATGCTCTGGCTCTATTGCATGGAGAGACAAAAACAATGCATATCAGTCACACATCCATTTGCCCTGCCTCTGTCTTCTAGGCCTCCACCCTGCAGCCAGTCACCTTAGCCATGACGAGTTTTCATAGTTGTTGTTATTGATCCCATAGCTGACATTGGGCCTCTTCCTACTCTACCCATCAGGGTTTCTTTGTCTTTGTTTCTGGCAATGCTGGGGATCAAACCTTAGGCCTCTTGAATGCTAGGCAAGTGTTGTACCACTGGGCTGCATCCCCATACCCTGCCCATCAGTGTCATAAAGGGGGAACTTGCAGCAGATGAAATAAGAGAGTCATGAATCCATTTTCCAACTCCCTGCTTCCCAGGCCTAGTGACCAGCCATCTCTGAGGCCCTGGCTGTTACCATGGCAGTCAGCCCTGAGACCCCACACGTCAGCCTCTTGGTCTCCATCACACTTCAAGGATGGGAAAAATAAATTTTTCAAAGAGTTTCCTTACCCCTTGGGACCTAGGGATTATACTGAAACTTTATTATTACTTTAAATAAATAAATTACTCCCTTGAGGCCAGATGAAAACATGCTCTTATTAAAGTTTTTAAAGGAGGAGTGGAATTAGAGAGAGCAAAATCAAAGGTGCCCAAACGGATTGAAGTGGCTCCTCAGAAGCTGACAGAATAGCAATTTGTATTTATATTATGTTTCTCATCAAAGGAGCATTTCACAAAGGCCTCGTTTCCCCAGAGCTGCCCCACAGATCTCAATTCAGAGGATCCTAGAGCTTGCCATGCAGGGTTCTCTGTCTTGGGGCTCTGTCCAAGGTGGCTGACCTCTGGCCCGGGGCCTGCAGGGCTAGCTGCGTCTCAGAACCTTTAGCAAAGCTGAGAGAGGGTTTCTGTGTCTGCAGGTCAATGGGAAAGAGAATAGCTGTCTCCCATGTAAAGATTCCTACTGGAAACTGGTCATGGAAGCCCGACCAGGGGAGGGAGGGGGTATCTACCTCCTATCAACACACACACACACACACACACACACACACACACACACACCATGAAAACTCTTGGGAAGAGGAGCCTGTCTGGGGTTGAGTTAACTCCTCAATAGTCTGTTAGCAGAAACCAGTATTTCTGACTGTGATTTTCCCTGTATTTCTGACATGCTAGACAGTAATAGAGAATTTTTTCTTTCTTCTTGTTCTAAGAGGGAGACAAGATATCTTGCAAAAGATCCTATTTTGTCTTTGTCTCTTCAGTGCTTGGTATGTGGAAAGGGTTCAGTGTTCATCAGCGAAATGACTACATAAGTGAATTAGTGAAGGACCAGGTAGATAAATTAAATGAAAGGTAGGTCCAAGTTTTCAGGTAGGAATGATCACTTTGCCCCTGGGGAGCTGGATGGGATTTCACTCTTCAAACACAAAAGCAATTAAATAATATGAGAAACTTTTATCGAAAATGTATTCTTTGTCTGGTACTATGATAAAAACTAAATACATTTTTAAAAGTTTTAAAAAAGTATAATCCTCACTAAAATCCTAACATCACTTTCCAGATGAGGGAACTGAAGTTCAGAGAAGCTGTGAGTTGTCCATGGACTTGGCATGGTCAAGATTTGAATGGAGCTCTTCCTGAGTACAAATCCATTCTTTTCTTCAGGGTCACGTGTTTGTTCCAAATTCAGTTTTGTCTCGTCTTTTCACTCTAAAGTTAACATCCGTACTTGGTCCATGAAAATTCCATATTTTCAGTGCCTTCTCTTATTTAGCAAAAATTCTGTATTTTCTTTAGAACTCAACCCCACCCTCAAATCTTCCAGTTTTCAGACTACATCCCAGTACAGCCACCAAAAACATATTTTATAAAGAAAGGCTGAAGAGTAGATTCAACAGCAATTAACAACAGTTTGGATAGTCTGTGTGACGGCACATGATGTCTACCACATGACTTGGGCTCTTTTCCTTCCTAAGCCTCCAACATGACCTCCATCTATCACTACCTGCAACACCTAAGGCAGGTCACTGCACCCCTCTATGCAACAGTTTTCTCATTTAGAGAAGTGAAGATGATAATGCAGACCCAAGTTCATAGTGCTATTGGAAGAGTTAAAAGCCTTAGTATAGAGGCACTGGCACGTAGTCATGCTGACCACGACGATGATCAAGGGTGGTGAGTGTGATGACTGAAGCACCTGCTTGAGGTCCAAGTGTCAGTCTCCATGAGTTGGTTGAGGCTTTGACTGAGACTGAGCTGGACTCCAAGGGTTTTCAGTGGTCCCAGCTGAGTGTCATTGGGGAAAGCAGCAGCTGACAGAGGGAGAGGCCTATGTGAGACCAACTTCTGGAGAGATTGATCCTTAGCAAGAGATCTAAGAAGTGTGAGATAAAAATGGGATCCAAATGGCTTGTAATATTTAAAAGAGATGATAATGGACAGTGATATCAGAAGGGCAGTAGGTGACGTTTGCAGCCTGAGTGCCTCTGTCTTGGATAAGCATTGCTCTTTCCCACCCTTATGTCCTTGCTCATGTCCCTCCAGGTGCTATCCAACCCTCAGCCTCAATGACCCCCCATCTTTGTCTATGACAATAGTGGCCATCTTTAAAGTCCAGTTAAAATTCAGCTGCTCTGTTGAATTCTTCTCCCTGCTGCACTCTGAGTGCCCTCTTCTTCCTCTGACCCCCTACGTCAGAACTGTGTTCCTCACATGTCAGTCTCAGTATGGTGCCCTCAAACTAATATTCCATTGTTCACGGTTGAGCCCTGATTATTAGTCTGCAGTTCTTCTGAACAGGAAGAACTAGTAAGGGTTTTGTATTCTAACACCAGGTCAATGTTGAGGCCAGATGAAGCTGATAACCAGTTTTCAAGCTAAATACTTGTTGGACAGACAGATAAGTAGCAACAAATTAATCCGGCAGGGCCCTAAAAGTTCATCCAGTCCAAATATTTTCATCTGAAATAAATGAGTAAACTGAGAATCAAAAGAGGTGTTTCTAGCTCAGTGTCATAGTTATTGTCACAAAGCAGCCACCTAGTATGGCTCTACTCAGACTATGGAAATGCTAAGATTTCTAAGAGAATTGAAGCCAAATTATGCTTTTCATCCTTTCCATTACTTTTCCCCTTCATATCTTTATCTTAAGGGAAATTCTGAGCTTTTCTGCTTCATTGGGAAAACATCCAGAAATGTTTTATTGTGAGTCTTACAAACTTTGCCTATTTTGAGCATGTACACTCTTCTCCATTTCACTCCATTGTGCTGAAATTCCTGCAGTTCCCCAAAGCCTCCATAGAAGCCTTTGCACATCTTTCCCGTGCCTCATTTCACTCTGCTAGCCTTTGCCTCCTTAGGACTTGTCTTTAAGATGATCACATACATGAAGTCACAAAGCCTCTGTTGAATGTTTTTACCAAGTACTAGGATTCTTTGGATTTTTCCTGGTGAGAGCCAGATTAGATTGCCATTTAGAGCCCTTATTTTATTGAGTTAGAACTTTTCTGCTTGCTTGACTATATTTGATCCCCAGTGTCACACTGAGTATCTGTCTGAGTTACACTTCCCCTGGAAGTGTTCTTCTTTGGGAGAATCCCTCCTCTTCTCATCCCACACATTTTTGAAATATTTTCAGAGGAAGGCTGCCATCTTGATAGGACTCTGTGTACCTTACTACAGTAATAAATGTGGCAGTGAGCACTATTAAAATATGGACTAATCAAAGTTCCTCAGTCTTATGCTACACAGATTGGTGCATGGGAGTCCACTTATGAAAAATGGGCCAATCAGGAGCTCTCCCATGGAATTTTCAAACTCAGGCTTAGGAGTAGGTACTCCCCTTAGTCTTTAATAAGACACTAAGGATGCACAGGCAGAGGTACTGGAAAGCCATGATTCTCTTCTACTAGAGTAGCTGTTCTGGAATAATAAAGCAGACTGAGAGAGAAGAGCAAAGACAACATTTGAAGAAAGAGAATCTTGACCATGTTTAATTCTTCAATTTCCCTGTCATCTCTGTCAGCTAAGTGGTTTGACCAGATGATGGTATTATAGGCTGAATTGTACTCCCCAAATTCCTATTTTGAAGTCTTAATCTCCAGTACCTCAGAATGTGACCATGGTTGGAGATAGACCTTTAAAGAAGAAATTAATTTAAAATGAGGGAATCAGAATGAGTCTTAATCCAATACACCTTGTGTCCTTATAATAAAGGAAAAAAGACAGACATAAAAAGCAGAGATGAACATTCACAGAGGGCAGGTCATCTGAAGACATAAAGAGAAGTGACTATTTGTTAGCCAAAGAGAGAGGCCTCTGAGGAAACCAACCTTGCCAATTCTGCCAACCCTGGATTGTGGATTCACAAGAAAATATGTTTCTGCTGTTAAGCTATGTGATATTATGTGGAACTTTGAGGGAAGTCTTGACAAGTGAATACAGATCTTTATCCTCTCTCTCTCTCTCTCTCTCTCTCTGCCACTCTCTCTCTCCCTCTCTTCCTTGTTGAATTAGTTCAAGATCAATTTTTAAGTCTTGCAATGAAAAGTAACAATACTGG